CACCTCCCCGCCTCCGCCTCCGCATGACCCTGCTGCCGACTGCGCTCTTCGGTCGGGCGACCGAGGGGCATCCCTGGCCTCTCTCTCTCTCTGTCGCTGCTTAGCTCTCAGCCGTGCCCACGATCTCGTAGCCCGCTTCCGCGCGCTCTGCCCGGCCGTGCTCGCTGTCGCGGTCGCTGTCGCTCAGGCCTCCGCCTTCCGAGCCTTCCGCGCAGCAGTTGCCGCCGCGCCGCGGTCGCGGCGACCGCCGAGAGCGCCGCTGCGGCCTCGACGGCGGCCGCCACTGCGGTCGCGCTGGTGGCGGCCGCTGCGCGGCATCTGCCGTCCGGAAGGTGCGGAAGGTGGAGGTCAAGGGGGCAGGGGGAGGCGGGGGAGGAGCAACGAGAGCCAGAGGGCAGAAGGTCGAGGCGGCGCTTTTCTCGAGAGAGCGCTCACGCTCCAGAGACGGCACGGGCGGCATCGCGAAGCTCGCAGGCCAGATCCCGCACCAACACCAGCCCTGGTCGGAAGGGAGGGGGCGGAGGGGGAGGGATGGGGATGGATGGGGGGGTAGGAGCAGAGGGAGTAGGAGGGGGGAGGGGGAGGCGGCCGCCATCTGTGACGAAAGACGGAGGAGCAGGGATGCAGGGGGAGGAGGATGGTGCCTTCTCCTTCTCCTCCTCCTCCTCCTCCTCTTCCTCTCTCTTCCTCTCCTCCTCCTCCTCCTCATCCTCATCCTCCTCCCTCCTCCCCTTCTCCTCCTCCTCCTCCTCCTCCTCCTCCTCCTTCTCCTCCTCCTCCCTCTCTCCTCATCCCTCTCTCCTCCTTTTTTCCCTCCCTCCCTCCCTCCCTTCCCTCCTTCCTTCCTCCCTCCTTCTTCTTCTTCTTCTTCTTTTTCCTCTTCTTCTTCTTCTTCTTTTTCCTCTTCCTTTTCTTACTCTTCTTCTTCTTCTTCTTCCTCCTCCTCCTCCTCCTCCTCCTCCAGGCTCCTCTCTGGCTCCCAACCCAACTCCCTCCATGCCTCCCTGCCAACCCCCTTCCTGCGTCCAGCGACATGGACGTGGGCGCATCTGGTCGCTACTACCGGTGCTGCTATCACAACTGATGGCTGCTATCAGTCGTCGGGCGGGCCTCTTGAGGAGGCGCAGCACAGAGTGCCGCGCTCGACCCCAAGGAGTGCGAGAAGATGCGCAGGGGCTCCTTCACGAACGGCTGCTACTGATCGTCGGTCGGGCCCCTCGAGAGTGCGCAGCGCAGAGTGATGAGCTCGATCACCAGGAGTGCGAGACGATGAGCATGGGCGGAGGAAGAGGAGGAAGAATAGTAAAAATAAGACTAATACTACTAATAATAATGATACTGATAATAAGAAGAAGACTAACCATAATCATAAGCTGAATTATCCCAGTGCGACCCTACCTAGGAGTTGGAGCATCTAGGAAAGCAACACATACATCTACACCGACAGCTACATTAACATCTACACCTGCATCTACATCTACATCAACATCAACAGCGATACTCACATCTACATCTACATCTACACCTACATCTACACCTACATCTACACCTACATCTACATCTACATCTACATCTACATCTACACCTACATCCACATCTACACCTACACCTACATCTACATCTACACTTTCGCATGGGTTTTGATTTTGCATTGCATTGCCTTGCCTTTGCTTTCGCTTTTGCTTTTGCGGTTGCTTTGCCTTTGCTTTGATGCTATGTTATGTTATGCTATGCTGCGCTATGCTATGCTATCATATGCTATGCTATGCTACGCTATTCTGCGCTATGCTGCGCTATGCCATGCTATGCTATTCTAGGGTATGATAGGCTGCGCTATGTTATGCTAGGCTATACTATGCTATGTTATGCTGCGCTATACTATGCTATGTTAGGCTATGCTGCGCTATGCTATGATATGCTATGCTGCGCTATGCTATGCTATGCTATGCTAGGCTATGCTATGATATGCTGTGCTGCGCTATGCTATGCTATGCTATGCTATACTATGCTATGCTGCGCTATGCTATGCTATGCTATGCTGCACTATGCTATGCTATGCTATGTGATGCTATGCTATGCTATGCTGCGCTGTGCTATGCTAAGCTAAGCTATGCTATGCTATGATATGCTATTCGATGCTATGCGTTGCTGCGCTATGCTATGCTGCGCTATGCTATGCTATGCTATGACATGTTATGATATGCTATGCTATGCTATGCCAAGCTATGCTATGCTAATGCTGCGCTGCGCTAAGCTAAACTGAGCTAAGCTAAGCTAAGCTAAGCTAGGCTAGGCTAAGCTAAGCTAAACAAAGCTAACCTAGGCTAGGTTAAGCTAAGCTAAGCCAAGTTACGCTAGGCTAAGCTAAGATGAGATAAGCAACGCTAAGCTAAGGAGACGTAACTGGGGGAACCGCGGGGCGGATGCCGGGGGAACCGCCTGGGGCGTGTTACACTGCCCGGCCCTCTAAGCTCACACAGTGAAAACCCTTCTAGGCAGAACCTAGGTAGGGAATAAGAATAATACTACGAATGATATTATTAATAATGCCAATGCTAATAGCACTATTAATACTAATACTAAGAATATGACGAATAAGAATAATCATATCAATCATACGAAGAATCATATGATTAATAATAAGAATAAAAAACACTAAGACGAAAAACAATACTACTACTGCAACGAATAAGAATAGTACTAATAATAATAAGAATAACAATACTAATAATAATACTAATAATAATAATCATACTACTAATAGTTAGAGGAGGAGGAGGAGGAGGATGAGGAGGAGGAGGAGGAGGAGGAGGAGGGGGAGGAGGAGGAGGAGGAGGAGGAGGGGGAGGAGGAGGAAGTGGAGGAGGAGGATGAGGAGGAGGAGGAGGAGGAGGAGGAGCAGGAGCAGGAGCAGGAGCAGGAGCAGGAGCAGGAGCAGGAGGAGCAGAAGCAGGAGCAGGAGCAGGAGGAGGAGGAGGAGGAGGAGGAGGAGGAGGAGCAGGAGCAGGAGGGAGGAGGAGGTGGACCGAGCTCGATCCCCAGGAGTGCGAGAAGATGGGCATGGGCTCCTTCCTGGCCGTCGGCGCAGCCTCGGACCCCCGCCGTCTTCTTGCGGCCCGACGGCGCTCTCTCCCCTCGCGCGGCGGGGGCCCTGGCCCGCTTTCGACGGGGCGCTCTATTTTTTGGGCGGCGCGCCGAGGGGGGAAGTTTCGGGTTGGATGTTTGAGGTATTCTGGCGTTTTCGTGGGCCCTCGACGGTTTTCCAGCCCCGGGATGCGTTCCAACAGCTGCGCCTCGCCGAGAGCGTTCCGGGTGTGCCTGAATTGTTTCTTGAAAGGCCGCCAGAACGCCAAATTATGACCCAAGTCACCAGGGGGGTAGGCCTTCTGAGAAGGCGGCGGGGCTTTTCAGAAGCCCCGCGGCCTTCTGAGAGGCCCTTTGTGGCTTCGGAGATAGCCCAGAAGCTTCTCCGACGGCCAGCGGCCTTCTAAGCCTTCTGAGAAGGCCCGTCCCCTCTGCCTTCCCCACTTCGAAGACGAACAACTAGCATACACATCAACCTTCCACGTTCCGCGTGGATTTCTTGGATCTGTGCTGGACCCCCGTCCTTGGCGCGCGGAGCGCGCCAGGGCGGCGTTTGGGGGCGCCGCCAAGGGGGCCCGGCACCGATTCAAGAAATCCGCGCGGAGCTCCGAAAGTTTGCGTCCCTACCCGTGAGACTGACGAGCCCAGAGGTGATAGCAATCTCAGGCCCAACACCGATCCGAGAATTCCGCGCGGAGCTCCGAAAGTTTACAGTGGAAGCCCCTGCCAGGAAACACCCTGCTTGCCTCCAGGGTGCCCTGGGTTTCTTGGGTTTCGATGGTTTTGCTATGGAAAGCGTGACGTTCCCACAAGGAAAAATCAATGGATGTCCTGGGGTCTCAGGGCTGGGTTTCTTGTGGACAAGGCTTCTTGTGGTCGAGCTCCTGCTGTAGCAGTCTGTCAGGCCCAGCACCCATCCGAGAAGTCTGCGCGGAGCTCCGAAAGTTTGTGCCCGTGCCGTTCTCTGCTGCTCTGCCCCTGGGCGCGCCGCCGAGAAGCATTGGGGCCCCACCTGCGGGGCGTGGAGGGAGCGCGCGCGCGCCTCGTCCCTCGGCGGAGAGCGCCCGCGGGGGGGCCGGCGGGAGCCAGCGGCAGGCAGCGCGGGAGCGGCTCGGGAGCCTGGAGGCTCCGAGGAGGAAGAGGTGCCCATACCTCTACCTCCTCCTCCTCCTCCTCCTCCTCCTCCTCCTCCTCCTCCTCCTCCTCCTCCTCATGGGAGGCCCTCGTCGCCACCGCTGGATACGCCTCGAGTCCTGGTCAGAATGCGCCCCAGGAAGGGTCTGGAGAGTAGCGGTGTTGGTACCTCTCTGGTTTCCCCAGAGACGAGGGTCAGTGCAAAGGGGGGTCAGCCAGAGCGCTGGGTCTTGCAGGATCCTGCAGGGCCAGGGGTGCACTGACCCGGGCTAGCGTGCAGGATCCTGCAAGGCCTGACTGGCCCAGGTTTGCATTGACCCGGGTCAGCGCGTTCCCGAGCGGCTCTGCCGGGGGAAAGAATCCAGGCCTCGCAGACGGGGTCCGAGTAGATGGGGTCGAAGGATCGTGCCGCATGGCCGATGCATTTGCGATGCGTCTCGATGTGGAGCCCGATATTCTCAACGCCCACGTCGCCGATGCACGGCGAGATCCTCCGAACACATCTGCGCACTCTGACACCATTTTGGAGGCCTCTAAGTAAGCAATCGCCCCGCCACGATGTGCTCAGGGGCAACGTTAGTCCAGATTCGAGGTTTTCGGGCGTTCCCGTTGGACTTCGGCAGTTTTCCAGCCTCGGGATGCCTTCAAGTGGCTGCTTCCCAATCGCTCATTGACCGCCGATGGGGATCCGATAGCCCACCCCTGCCTGGAACTTGCGCTTTTGCTATCGGGGATCCTATCGTCGATCTATCGGCGATGTATCGCCGATTCCAGCTCGATGTTTCTTTCCTATGAGCCGGCCCCCCCTCACGTTCCTCCTCATTTCTTGTGTTGGTCCAGGGCTTCTGGAGCCCGCCGCGTATCATCACCTTTGTCGTCGCTGTCACGCTCGCTGCTCATGTCGGCCTCACTGCGCGCTGCGCTGTTGCTCGCACCGCTCTCAGGGGTAGCTTACTCACGATGTAAATGTTTATGCCTGTGTGTACATATACGTATAGGTATACGTCTCTTTGTAGATATTTGAGTTTGTAGTTGTATATGTATATGGTTTTGTGTATGTGCATATGTATGTGTAGGGGTATGTGTATGTAAACTTATGTTACATTATACATATGTGCATGTATATGTATATGCATATGCATACGTGTATGTATATGTATATGTGCATGTATATCTACTTGCACATGTATATATACATATTCATTCATATACGCACATGTTCATGCTTCGGTTGTGTATCTGTTTCTGTGAATGTACATGCACACGTATGTGTACATGCATGTGTAAATGTACATGCATGTTCGTATGTATGTAGACGTATATACACATACGTACATGTATATGTCTATGCATGTGCCTATGTCTATGTACATGTGTACGTGTATGTATATGTCTATGTATGTGTAACGTCTATATGTTCCGTATAGAGGTAGGTATTGGTATACTTGTCTGAGAATGATTGTGCCTCTGTATATGTATATGCACATACAGCTGTACATGCATATGTACATGTACATGCAAATGAAATGTACACATATGCATATACATATATATGTGTATGCTCACGTGTATGTGTATTTGTGTTTACATGCATATGTTCATGCACATGCGTATATATGGGTTTGCGTTTGCATGCATGCATGTAGATGTATGTGCAGATGTGTAGGAATGTGTATGTGTATACGTATGTGCGTATGTATACGTATGTGTATCTGTATAGTTATATGCAAATATCTATGTGCATGTATATGTATATGGTTACGTATACGTATATGTGTATTTAGGTGTCGATGTAGAAGTCTGTGTATGTGTCTGTGGGTAGGTATAGATATATGAGTATGCATTCTGTATGTACAACTGTATCTGTCTATGTACAAGTATTTGAGTTTGCATATGTAATGTATATTTAGACGTGCAGCCATCTGTATTTGTACATTCGCATGTCTATGTTTATGCAGGGGTACACGTATGGGCACATGTATTCATATATGTTTGTATACATATATTTATACACGCATGCGTACATGCATAGGTTTATGCATATGTGGAGATACTTGCATGCACATTTATATGCTTATGCCAACGTGCATGTCTATGCGTATGTGTATGTATGTATCTATGTACATGTTTGTGTAACTGTGTATGTATATGTACATGCAAGTATTTGCGTGTATGGATATGTATATGTATTTATATATAAATGTAAACGCATATGTTTCTGTTCAGTTATATGTATATGTATATGTGCATGCGTATATACATGCTTATATACATGTGTTTGTATTTGCATGTGTACTTGCATGGACAATGGGTTTTCTACACATGGGTATCTAGGTGTATATGTCTATATCAGTGTCTATGTTCCTGCAACTGGAAGTGTATACGTATAGGCATCTAGTGGCATTCTGTCCATCCCGCCACCTTGCCTTGGTTGTGGGTTCGAGGCCTCTTGGATGTTCGTTTGGGTATCGTGGTAGGCCTCTCGGCGGCCTCTTGGATGTCGTGTTGATGCCTCTTGGGGGCCGTTCGAGGCCTCTTGAGACCCTTTTTTAGGCGTCTTGGGGCCTCGCGGTGCCTCCAGGGTGCCTTTTGGGTTCTCTTGGGGGCCTTTTGGGGCCTCCTGGGGACCTCTCGGGGCGGAAGTCTCGAACTGACGGTTCTTGTTCCACCTCTTGGGGCAGTGTTGGGGCCCTCTTGGGCGATCTTAAGCGCCTCTTGGGCCGTTTTGGGGCCCTCTTGGCACGTCTTGGGCTCTCCTGTGGGCCGCTTGGGCAGTCTTGGGGCGGTCTTGGGGGCCTCTGGCGCCATCTTGGAGCGTCGGAAGCTCGAACACGCGAGAACGCGAACAACATAGAACATCACATGGCACATACATCATTTTTTCCTCTTTGGGCCCTCTTGGGGGTCCTCTTGGAGCGCTCTTGGGGCTTCTTTGGGGCCTCCCGGGCCGTCTTGGGGCCATCTTGGGCGTCTTGGAGCGCTCTTGGGCCGTCTTGGAGTCCTGTTGGACCCTGTTGGGCGCTTCATGGGGCCCTCTTGGCCCGTCTTGGGGCCCTCTGGCAGCCAGCAAAGTCATGCGAGGCAGTTCAAGAATGCGCGGGAACGCCCAGGAAATTTGAGAATGTGGGCCCCCCAGCCCTTATAATATAATCACAGGGTCCTGAGTACAGAGAACAGAGGACAGATGAGAGCCTGGAGAACACTGCACTTCGCGCCTGGCGGCACGATGGCGGATATGTATATGTATATGTATCGGTATATGTATATGTATCTGTGTCTGTA